GAATTTACTCAGCTCAGTTAAGTGGAACCAGGTCACATAACATGGTTAAGTAAATCCAACATTTCATTTTTTACAGTGCATCCTTATAATAACTGAGACGTTAATTTAAGAACAAACAACTCATTGACAGATTCACACAGGCCTCATCACAACYCTGTAAAGATGACTTCATGTACCTCAGTGGATTCTGCAGAGAGTCAGTGTTAAGGCCATAAGAGAAAAAGACCTTCCTGGAGCAGATTCAGACCCAACATCAGGAATCACAGGAAAGTTCAGTGTTGTCTGGAGGGGCGAGGTCTTTGACAGACCTGGAAACTGAGCAGAATTATTAAAAAGGTTGGTGTTTTACTGTGTCTCATAGCAAAGCTTGCTGCAGCTGTCATGTGTTTGTGTATTTTTATCACCGGAGTCACTGCTTCTGTATCATTTAAACAAACTTAATGATGATGTTTAAAATATGTGTAAGTACAGTATTATCACTGTACGTGTGACTGACTGCAGTACAGTGCTGAATGAGGCTAGCATGCTACAAGTAAAGCTAGCAGTAAAGTTTACTGAACCGGTTTATCAACATAAAGTGCAGGCCAGGTTAGGATCCAGGTGGTCCAGTGTTGGTCTGTTACCTCAGATAAAATGTTCGGAGCAGACGTTAAGTCCATGGTTGCACTTTTTTCTGGTCAAATTCAGCTCGTCCCATCGCACAACTCCAGCTGTTAGCCATAGCATCTTAGCTTGGAAAAGGTGACAAAAATCCTCCGTCCATGAGGAGACAATGGCTGTACTCTGAGTTATTGTTATAAGAACTGTAGCACAATGTTGTAACCCTTCTGTGGACTTTGATGTTGCTTTCCCACATTTATTTAAGTTTGAACACAGCTAGTTGGGACACACCTCAGTGTTGAGCAGACACGTGATCTAAAAACAGCCTGAGTGAAGGTCACCATTTTCACTTGCTTAGCGGTTTAACCTTAGCAATGCTAGCTTCTTGGTTAGTAGTTAGCCTTTTTTACATTTAAATCCTTCAGTTGGGGTCTTTATGAAGTGGAACTACAATGCTTTGGTCTGAATTCCTCCTTATTGTAACTCCACAAGCCCATCTTTCACTCCTTTTCTGAGGAGTCTCAGATCAACTCATTTTGAGGCTGTCTCTTTAAAATCAAACAAGGTGCTTCACACCCCGCCCCCTCCAGYTTCCAGCCYGGTTCATTCWAGTTTCATAGAGGGGTTTGGGACTACATAGCTGCGCAGAAACTTTTATTCAACAATGAATTAAAAGGTGAAGAACAGAAGACTTGATGTTGGACCCAGAGTCTGACCCAGACTGAGAGAAAAATAAAAAACATCACATTGTCGTTGGTAAGTCCAGACCTTATTTTTCAGTTCAATCACAGATAACTTGACATAATAGTTCAGAAAACATCATAGAAAATAGAGAAAACTGAACAGGATGAACAATAAGATCCAAACAGAATATAAAGATATCTAAGCAGCACCTGGAGAGACTACGTTCAACTTTCTGCCTCCTGGAGACTCCAACACAACAAACTGTGTTTAACAGCTGAAAACATGGATTTTACGTGATTTGTCCTCTAATAGTTGTAGCTTCACTGGTAGGATTTATAAAAGACTTTCAGCWGATCAGCAGCTGGTCTGTAGTCCAGTTCAGCAGGTCAGAGGACAGCTCACCTCCTGGACTAGAAGCCATGCTGGTCCTTCAGATCCAGGTCTGACTCAGATATCTGAGGTCTACCATCAAGTTCTCAAAGTCAGACCCAAGTAAGCAAGGGTAACAAGTACACAAGGGTAACCAGTAAACAAGGGTAACAAGTACACAAGGGTAACCAGTAAACAAGGGTAACCAGTAAACAAGGGTAACAAGTTAACAAGGGTAACAAGTGAACAAAGGTAACAAGTTAACAAGGGTAACAAGTAAACAAGGGTAACCAGTAAACAAGGGTAACAAGTACACAAGGGTAACCAGTAAACAAGGGTAACAAGTAAACAAGGGTAACAAGTAAACAAGGGTAACAAGTAAACAAGGTTAACAAGTTAACAAGGGTAACAAGTAAACAAAGGTAACAAGTTAACAAGGGTAACCAGTAAACAAAGGTAACCAGTAAACAAGGGTAACAAGTGAACAAGGGTAACAAGTAAACAAGTGTAACAAGTAAACAATGGTAACAAGTTAACAAGGGTAACCAGTAAACAACGGTAACAAGTGAACAAGGGTAACCAGTAAACAAGAGTAACAAGTT